TGTGGCTGAAATATGAGCCCTTGTGGGAAAACCTCGGACAGAGGGAGAAATGAAAGATTTTCTTGTGAAAGCAAAGGCTGAACTGGTGCTTTTCCAAGGAATAAAACGCTGCTGTTATGGAAGGCAGGTCCCCCAGACGCCTTGATAAATGCCAGCGAATAAAAGGTATTTTGAAAATACTGAAGATTAATACAACTTAATACTACTACTATTATTATTATTATTAATACTATTATTATTATTATTATTATTATTATTATTATTATTATTATTATTATTATTATTATTATTATTATTATTATTATTATTATTATAGAATAGAGCTGGAAGGGACCTTGGAGGTCTTCTAGTCCAGCCCCCCGCTTGAGCAGGAGAACCTATACCATCTCAGACAGGTGACAGAATAGAATAGAATAGAATAGAATAGAATAGAATAGAATAGAATAGAATAGAATAGAATAGAAAATATGGAATGGAATGGAATGGAATGGAATGGAATAGAATAGAATAGAATAGAATAGAATAATGACAATAGAATAGAATAGAAGGGAAGGGAAGGGAAAGGAAGAGAAGAGAAGAGAACAAATTGAATATGGAATGGAAAAGAATAGAATAGAATAGAATAGAATAGAATAGAATAGAATAGAATAGAATAGAATAGAATAGAATAGAATAGAAAATATGGAATGGAGTGGAATGGAATAGAATAGAATAGAATAGAATAGAATAGAAGAATGACAATAGAATAGAATGGAAGGGAAGGGAAGGGAAAGGAAGAGAAGAGAAGAGAAGAGAACAAATAGAATATGGAATGGAAAAGAATAGAATAGAATAGAATAGAATAGAATAGAATAGAATAGAACTGGAAGGGACCTTGGAGGTCTTCTAGTCCAGCCCCCGCTCAATCAGGAGAACCTATACCATCTCAGACAAGTGACTGTCTAGCCTCTTCTTAAAAATCTCCAGGGATGGAGTGCCCACGATTTCTGGTGGCAGGCTGTTCCACTGGTTAATTGTCCTCACTGTTTGGTTCTACTGGCAGCTGCGGCCTTTGGCGTAAAGTGGAAAACGTTCCTGTTGGGATTTTAAACGTCTTCCCAATACAAGGAACAGCTGTTTGAGTGGAATTGCAAACAGTCCTCCTTTAGCGACCGAAGTTACAACGGCGCTGAAAAAAGCGACTTACGCCCCCTTTTCACACTTACGACCGTTGTCGCATCCCCACGGGCGCGTCCGTAGGACACGGAGGAAGGACGTTGCTAACAAGTCATTTCTTTTTTGGAGAAGGGGGTGTAAAAAGGATTTTTTTTTGCCTCAAGGTGGAAGCCAGGACAGTCGTAAGTGGGAGACCACAAGGAGAAACACGGGAGTTGTGATCCACACGTCATAAAATTGCCAAGGTTGGGAAACATGCAATGGGGAACCAATGGCATCGGACCTGGTTACCTCCGAGACCGCCTTCTGCCGCAGATTGCCTCCCATCGACCGGTACGCTCCCACAGAGAGGGTCTCCTCAGGGTGCCGTCGGCCAAACAGTGTCGGCTGGCGACCCCCAGGGGGAGGGCCTTCTCTGTGGGAGCCCCCACCCTGTGGAACGAACTACCCCCCCGAGATCCGGATTATTCCGGATCTCCCCTCCTTCCGCCGTGCCCTCAAGACATGGCTTTTCCATCAAGCGGGATTGGCCTAGGGGGGGGATTTTATAGGGATTTTAAAGGGATTTTATAATTTTTCTAATACAGGTTAATTAATATATATTTTAATTTGGCTTTTAAATATTTATTGTATAGCTCTGTTTTTATTTACCTGTAAGCCGCCCTGAGTCCCTCGGGAGAAGGGCGGGGTATAAATTAAAGTAATAATAATAATAATAATA